AATCATATAATTACTATCAGGTGTCCAGTTGCCCACGAAACAGATCAAATTTAAGTATTTTCTAAAAATTCCAAAAAAATTCTAAAAAATCACAAATAATCTAATAATATAAAACTCTACAGTTACTTTACCCAATTCCTAATAATTTAATTATTAAAATTTTGACAAAGATTTTGTCAAAATTTAACAAACCAGGGGTATTGAGAATCAGGATGTTACGAGAGACGGCAGTATCGACTTGCCAAATGGCGAGAGGGTCGTCTCGTCAAACGAGACAGCGGTCTCAACTTTGCCATTAGGCGAGACGGCGGTCCCGATAAGCGAGACGACGGTCTCAACCCCTAAGGTGGAAATCCTTATTTTTTCGTACAAAAAAACCTTCCTACTCTAATATGGGGCCTAATAGTCTCTCCTATTGGCTCTTTAGGCCTTGCCCATCTTAGATTTGGAGGTCTTCTGCTCTTTATTTTGAGGCAGGGCAAGATTTGGGGTTTACACTATGTTTATGCAGCCTTCTCTAAAGTTGTGGACGCATTATGGTCAAATCGATCAGGTGGTAAGCTCTTTGGGCCTTTGTGGTTTGTCCAACTCTAGCTAGTATCAATTTATGAATCTCTACTATGTCCAACTTCGATTTCCTCAATGTTAGTTCCCTCATTTCTATGGAGGGTGTCAGATTGGCCGCTCGACACCCACGATTATTCAAGGAAAATGAAGCCAAATACAAGACATATTTGAAGTTTTTATTGTTGAAAAAGGGTTTCGATATCCTTCTTGCCCCCTTCTCAAATATAGGCAATGGTCCTGAAAACGGTCGAGGTCATCCATGGTTGAGATCCAAATTTCCAGCTACTACCCCAACATTACAAGTTGAATTCATTAAATCCTGGAGCAGGTTTCTCACATGGGACATTTTAGTAATTGGTTTTCAATTTAAAGAAATTCAAATTTTCTCATATGTCCCTTAACATTTTTCTCGTTATTTTGGACTAAGCCAAGCTTTCCTAGCTACTCGATTCCATCCAACTATTTTGCACAACTTCTCTTTCAATGAATCTAATATTAGGGATGAGCTTCTTCAACTAACTCTTACAGAACAAACCAAATTCCACCCGAATCCATTTGAATATAATTTTGTTTGCACTTTTGAATGTTTTTCTTGGCGGGACCAATGGTACATCTTGAATCATCTTACATTTAAAGCAATAAAATCACGACTAAATAGTTACCCTGATTTTGTGGTGCAGAATAAGTCAAAGGTGAAGAAAGATAAACACGAACATTATCAGTTTGAGCAAAGGAATATAGTTTTTTCCCTTCGATCCAAATTTTATCAGAATCAATCAAGATTCCATAAGTGTCTAAAACCCACTAGGAAAAAAAATCTTTGACAAATACTACCCCAAAGACTTACCGACTTTTTCTTTGCCCCCTTTGGTGTCTCCAAGACTTTAATACATCCTAAATGGATACAAGACTAAAGATCAGATCATGAAACATTATATCCTAAGCCAATAAATAAGTTTATCACTGTCTCTAAATTATCCTATTTCCCATATCTTAATTTATCTGAACTCGACTTTCCACCTTGATTGAATCATATCCATCATGTACCTATCCTGAGCCATACACCCTTTGGTGAGATAATTTTTCTTTCATACATACCCTTTTTTGCTCTCTTATCTTTGTTTTAACTGATTCATGTGTTAGATGCTTCTTATTATTTTTAGTCTTTTCTTTAATAAAAATTATCGATCCTGAAGAGAGAATTTCTAAACCTGACATGACACCAATTACACCATCATCCCCCAAAGTCCAAAAGAAAAGGAAGATTCATGGTGTCCTTCCCCGTCCAATATGGTTAACTTCTTCAAAATGTTGTTACATATATATATATATATATATATATATATATATATATATATATATATATATATATATATATATATATATATATATATATATATATGTAACAACATTTTGAAGAAGTTTTTCTTTGTCTAGAAGAAATCAAAATTGAAGATAGCTCCATCTCCAAATTCTATTCCAACCTTAACATCTTAGGTATTATAATCTTATGATTTTAATAAGAAACTATCATTTCACTTCATTCACATAACAACCATCAATTTTAACTTCAACAAAAATCAATACCCTCAACCACAAACGTTCCTCCTCCACCCACCAACATTATCAAATATGATTATGATGATGATGATGATAACATACCTCTTACTTGACGTATCTCAAAAGAAAGGCGTTTAATTTCTTCAATATGACTATTTTTTCCAGACATGATTCATTTTTCTGTTGTATTTATTATTTATTATTATTATTATCTTCAGGAAGAGGCCTCGACACATGTTTCAAGTAATTTGGATTCCTTGGTGGAGGTCTCTATCACACCTTTGTTAGACAAATGACATCTAGAAGGGGGAGGGGTGAATAGATGCACAAATTAAAATAGATACCAAATTAAAAATTTATTTTAGATGTCCAATAACTTGTTAATTCAATTTTATTTATCAGATTGAATTTAGATAAAGCGGAAGCGATATAATCAGCAAGGTATAGGAAAAAATACAAGCGCATAGATATAGGGAAAACAAAAGCCAAGAGTCATAAAGTGAAAAGAAGAATACACAATAATTTATATTTGTTCGGGTATATCCAACCCTACATCCAATTCCTAGTCACCTCTAACACAAGAGTGACCCAAATTCACGATCTTTCAAATTCAGTTTACAAATTACAATCAACTCAGCAGAGGAACCAGTAAAGAGTAAACTAATTAAAAAGACAATCACCTCCTTAGATCCCACTAAGGATGAACACTTCCCTAAAATCCCACTAGGGATGAGCACCTCCTCTGAACAAATCAAAGGATGAAAAACACCTCCTTTGAAACCAACACACAAAGGATGAACACCTCTCTAGAATCTCACCAGGGATGAACACCTCCTCTAAAAAAATCAAAGGATGAAAAGCACCTCCTTTGCAACCAACACACTAGGGATGAACACCTCCCTAGAATCACACTAGGGACGAACACCTCCCCGAACAAATCAAAGGGATGAAAACACCTCCTTAGAATCCCACTAAGGATGAACACCTCCTCTCAACAAATCAACGGATGAAAACACCTCCCTGAACAAATCAAAGGAATGACAGTAGAAACTCCAAACACAGAAACACACTGCTCAAGAAACAGTATGCACACCTAAACCCACAAAGGATGAAGGCAATAAAATAAGAGCAACAACCTAAACCCTAAAAATGGGATTTAATAGCAACCACTTAAACCCTAAATAGGGAATTTAACATCAACTTCCTAAACCCACAAAGGATGAAAGCAATAAAATAAGAGCAACAACTTAAACCCTAAAAAGGGGATTTAGCAGCAACCACTTAAACCCTAAATAGAGAATTTAACATCAACTTCCTAAACCCACAAAGGATGAAGGCAATAAAATAAGAATAGTCACACCTAGGTAATGGAGACAACACATTGTAGAAGCCTATAGAATGATAACTCCAAGAACACAGTGTGATTAATAATGAAAGCACAGAAGACAATATGAAAAAGTTTTCTCAGAAAACCTAAAAGTGTTGTGTTGCCTTGCTCAGAATTCTTTTATCAAAACTGATTGAATGTAAATTGAAATTTCGAATTTTGTAATTATCTATTTTTTATTTTTCATCAAAACTCATTTAAATAGGAAAATAGCATCAGAAAATAGTCGTCGGTCATTAATAATTTCGTAGAGAAAAATCAAGATGTATCCAAAAAACATTTATTCTTCAAAAATAGATATAATTTTCAAATTTGAACTGCCATAATCAATTATGTTACTAGTATAATCGTTTATGACAAATAGAAAATTGTTTTTCCATTTTTGATGCATCATAATCGATTATAATAGTGAAAAATGTCATGTTACGAAATTTTATCACACTTGTGCTTTGAAGGCTTATGCATAATACCACTTCATCAACTTGTACCTCCAAATCCAGTATTCTAAGACTATATCTAGTCTTCAGGAATCATCTTGGGCTTGCTTGAATCTTGAATGGTTTGAATAATCATATATTAGGCTTGCTTGAGTCTTGAATATGTTGACTTGAATCATCATCAAAATCATCTCTTGGGAATGTAGGGACATGTTTTACATTTCCATCAATCTCCCCCTCATTGCTTTCAACCTCTTGTACCTTCATTCTCTCCTATTAATGTATTTCTTTCCTTTATCAGCATGCTTCTATTTAAGAATATACTATTTTTGATTTTTACTGAGTTTTACATCACTTATAGGAAACTTCCCTTGTACATACTACGCTCGCTCCGATCAATCCACAAACCGAACCCCTTGTACAAGGTAACTACTTTGTTATAACTTACTTTATATTACTCCTTAACCAATTCCTTATATATCTTTTGAGTGATATGAGTGTATTCTTTCATTTTATCTGATATGTATTCATTTTCTATAGAATCTCTTAATCAAACTGTTGTAGCTCAATTACCAGAGCCCATTTCCCATGATGTCGATCTTCCTCTAATGGATTCTACTCATAAAGTTTCTGCCAATAGTGATGTTGCACTTGTAGAAGAAATTGAGAAGGATCCATTCAAAAATCTAGATTTAATGATGACTCATGCGGAATATTTTGAAGCTGCTACAAGTTACCATCGAGACACCAACAAGAAGTGGGTGTTTCAAGAGATCTTGGATAGATTTCAGGTCATCCCAATTGAGCATCTTCTCCCAAGTTTCGATGAAGAGGTATTAATAGTAACTAACATTTTCATTGAAAGTCGAGCCTTGAGGAAGAAGCATCTATTGTTGAACACATAGAAAATAGAGATTGAAATTGCTCGTATAGTTAGAACAAATTCTTTAAATCAAAACAAGTCCAAGTTTGAGGTTATCAAATAAGAACAATCAAACATTTCCACTTCCTTAATTAAAGGAAAAACCAAGTGTGTATACCTCAAATAGCATATTCTCGATCTTCAACAACAAGTTCAACTCTCTGAAGCCAAAATAGATGATCTTTGCAAATCTCAAGCTTCTCTCTGTGAAGAATTTTCAAGATTGCTCACTACTTCCCAAAACATTGACATGGATCTCAAAGATGATTTGGTTAAGCTCAACGATAACACCAAATAAGAAGTTTTAGTATTGATTACATGGGATGCCTTGATTGTAAAGTTTAACTGACTTTGATCAAAACACAATATTTGAATATTTAAACAATATTTGTAAATATGCAGCTGATTTTCTATTTTTACTCATTCTCTTTCATATATAATTATATTTGAATGCTTTTAAATATTTTCCATTGATCAATAATCTTTTTTGTCGATCATAACAATTAATAATGATATAAGTGTTATTCAATAATACCTTAACAATATTGAAAGGTCCTTCCCAATTTGGGGATCATTTTCCATAACACTTTGACTTCTTATCCATAAGCAATATTACTTTCCATACAACATCTCCTTCTTTAAAGCATTTATTCCTAACTTCATCTAATTCATTTAATTCATCAAACATTTTATTCCAATAGTCTTGACTCGACAACTCACTTTGTCTTTGAATTCAGACCAATTGTATATTAATTTCAATTGGTGAAATTGCATTGTGTCCATAAACTAATATATATGGAGTTGTTTCTATAGAATATTTTGGAGAATTTCTATAAGCCCATAACACTTGAGGCAATGTCTCGTGCGAATTTCTGGGTCGACTTCCAATATGTTTTTTAATCAAATTTATGAAAACCTTGTTGATAGCTTCCACTTGTTCATTAGCCTGAGCAAAATAAATAGTCGATTCTAATAATTTAATATTCCTTGATTCAACATAATTGACAATTTTATTCCTAGTAAATATTGTCCCTCTATTTGTAAATATTGATTCAGGAATTTCAAATTGATATACAATATGTTCTTCTACAAAATCAATCACATCCTTCTATTCAATGCCTTTTAATGGTATTGCTTCAACCCATTTAGTAAAATAATAGATAGTTACAATAATAAATTTAAGTCCTTTCGATGAATGCGGATAAATTTGTCCAATTAAATTTATTGCCCATCCTCTAAAAGGTCAAGACTTTGAATTGTTCCAAACCTTTTACATTATTCACAAGATTTAGTGTATTCGATACAATATTTCAAAATCGATGGTCAATAATACCCTCATCGGTATAATATCCACTTCATTTTTTCACCAATCATATGGGCTCCACATATTTCATTATGAACGTCTGTCATAACTATCTATGTTTTGTCTTTACCTAAACATCTAAGTAATACCCATTGACACCCCATTTATAGAATTCACTATTCAATGTGACATAATTCCTATCTCGATACATTGTTGTCCTATCGTTAGATTTAATATGATCATGTAAATATTCAAGTATTGGTAATATCCAATCATCCTTACTCAATTGACTTACGTGAAATATTTTGATTTCTTAGGGTAACTTTTTGTTAATCTATATTAACTTATAAAAATTTTGATTTGAAATTTTGTATCTCCATGCTATTTGTGCTAATTCATTTGCTTTATGGCTATATTCTTGAGATATGTGTTCGAAAACAATATCATCAAATTTAGTAATTAACATAAAAATGCTTTCGAGATACTTATTAAATTTGAATTTAAAGCACTTATATTTTCCATTCACTTGTTTAATAATAACCAATTGTGAATATCTACGAACCACCACTAATTTTGCTCAAAGTTCAATTAAAGTTTCCGACCCTAACACTAATGTTTCATATTCAACTTCATTATTCATATACATTGGCTTTATTTTAAATAATAACTTAGTAGGAATGTTTGTAAGAGATATTATAATAATTTCTACTCTTTTCCATTCACTATATTGGAACCATTGAAATACAACATCCATCAATTAGTTTCAATAATATATATCTCTTTGATTTTAATGTGTGTATGATCAACCAAAAAATTAAGAACAACTTACCCTTTAATCGATTTCAAATTATCAAATTGTAATGAAAATTTAGTTAACATTAATACCCATTTGTTGGATCTTTCGAGGGGGATTCACTGGGGAGAAACAACACCAATGAGACATGAGTCCAACCCACGTAAGGGATTGACACCATCTTCAACCCAAAACCTTAAGGCATTAGGTTATAGGTCTTTCTCACTTATAAGTTACTCAACTTTCTCATTCTTACATAATGTGGGACCTAAACTCACACTTGGATTTCCCAAGAACCTCCCCCTCAAGTGTGAGTCCTTTCACATTAGTACAACCCCTCTAGCTCACTACCGACCCTTCCATGTATTATTTTTCATCATTACGGGACATGTAAACCTGAACTACTATCAGGAAAACTTTTGATACAAGGACCACTCTTAAACTAAATCATCGACTCTGATACCATTATTAGGTATTTTGAGGTGGATTCACTGGGGAGAAACAACACTAATGAGACATGAGTCCAACCCACATAAGGGATTGACACCATCTTAAACCCAAAACCTTAAGGCATTAGGTTATGGGTATTTCTCATTTATAAGTTACTCAACTTTCTCATTCTTACACAATGTGGGACCTAGACTCATACTTGGATTTTCCAACACCATTTACTAACTGGATTGTGGATAATAGGCTTAGATAATAATAACTTTAATATATTGTTCCTAAAAAAAAACAATTACATCACAAGGCTTAAGATAATGTTTAAGCTTATGACAAGAATAATAAAGACATAATGCCAAATTTTTTATTGCATTGTGATGAGTTTCAACATTAATCAATAATAGACTCAAGTAGTATACAACACACTCCACTCCATTAGCATCTTCTTGAGCCAACATAGTTACAATGGTATTCTCGGATGTTGAAACATACAAATTCAATGGTCTTCCTCGATCGATTGAAAATAATAGAGGAGGATTACTCAATGCTTTCTTTATTGTCTCAAAGGCCTCTTGATGTTCATGATTCCATACAAATTCATTCTCCTTCTTCAATCTCAACAATGAAGAGAAAAATATATATCTTACCTGCCAAATTTTAAATAAATCTCTTTAAATAATTAATTTTACGTAATAAAGTTTTAGAATCACGCAGCGGAATGTTTGTGTTTACGGACAAAAACCAAGAGGGGGGTGAATTGGTTTCTTAAACAAAAATTAGGGTTTTAAAATTTTTCCCAAATTTCACTGATTAAAATGCTGTGTAAAGTAAATAGATAAGGGAAAGAAGATTACACAGTTGATTTATACTGGTTCGGATCAAAAGACCCTACGTCCAGTTGCTAATCACTCAAAAAGAGGATTAACGCTGTCACTATAATCACAGTTTACAAATAGATTACAAAATAAAAAGATAAGGAATAGAAAACACCTCTCTTGAGTCACACAAGAGATTAATACCTCCTTTGAATCCACAAAGGATGAAGAACAACTTTTCCTAGAGACGGCACAACACACAATCCACCAAGAAACCCACTCAGTGATTCTTATCGCTTCTAGCCCACACTAGGTTTTCAAAAGCCCTTTTTTCTTCCCTACAAAAAGTTCTCTAGCAGTCACAACTCTTAACTTTTGTATGAAAAAGGTTTGTTTAATTGCAGAGAGCCTTAGAGAACCTTAAGTAGAGAGAATAGGGTCTGGGAATTGGGGATTTTCGAAAATAGAAGAATTGGGAATAGGATTTTCGAAACTTGGTCCAAATTTGAATTTCAAAACACATAATAGACGTAAATAATCGATTATCTTGAGTGATAATTGATTATTCCAGAGCCATTTTCGCAGAGGAACAAAACTGGACCAGGATAATCGATTATCTAGCCAAATAATCGATTATTTGCCTGTGATAATCGATTATCCTGAGTTATAATCGATTATCACAGAGAGCTTTTCCTGAAAATGATTTTCTTGCTGTAATAATAGATTATCCAGGGTGATAATCGATTATCACAGTGTAATTTTGATAAAAATCAGTTTTTAGAGCTTTTAAAGGATGGTCTATGTGCTGGCTATCTTGGACTCTAATGTTACAGACTCAAAAACATAAAAACAGAGTTATTACATAAGATTACAAGTCTTCAAATCTCTAAGTCATTTGTTCTTGAATCATCATCAAAATCTACAAGCTTCATATCCTTGTATGTTCAACATAAAGGTTGTAATTCCTTTTTTTTTCCTGGAGCACTAGTTTCAATTATTGCCTTTACTTTATTTTATCAATTAACTCTCCAGTATTTACTCCAAAAACACATTTTAAAGGATTCATTTTCAAATTGTTACTTCTCATTCTTTGCAAAGGTTGTCTCAGATTTAATTACAATATCATCTATATAAACTTGCATAAAATCTCCAATTAAATAATGAAAAATTAAATTCATAGCTCTTTGATATGTTGCTCTAACGTTTTTCAAACCAAAACGCATATCTAACCATTCATAAGTACCTAATGCTCTAGGGAATCTAAAAGCAATTTTCAATATATAATTCTCAGTAATAAAATTTTGATCATACCAGAGTATCCATCTAAAGGACTTAATATTTCATTTATTGATAAAACATCAATTAACATTTCAACTATAGGCATAGGATATTCATCCTTAGGTGTTGCTTTATTTAGATATCCAAAATCAATATAAATTCTTATTTTTCCATTTTTCTTAATAACAGGAACAATGTTAGAGATCCAATCGACATACCTAGTTGTTCTTATAAATTTAGCTTTCAGTAATCTCTCAATTTCTTCTTTGACTTTTTCCATTACTTTAGGTGCAAATCTTCGAGGAGTTTGCTTAACACATTTTTTACCTTATGGGCAATCAATGTTCCACTAGGCTTTGATCTAATCCTGACATTTCATGATATTCCAAAGTGAAACAATGTTTATATTTTTTAAGCATGTTCACCAATTCTTCCTTCATTTATGCACTTAACAATTTACTTATGTGAGTGGGCCTCTTCTCATGTTCATTTCCTAAGTTGACTTCTTCTAAAGGGTCTTGCTTTAACTTTTTTGTTGGTATCGCGTAGCGGAATGTTTGCGTTAAGACAAAAATTAAGAGGGGGGGGGGTGAATTGGTTACTTATAAAAAATTATCCCTTTAAAAACTTTTCAAAAGATTTTACCGATTAAACAATAATACAAT